CTATTGAGAAATCTTGAGATTAGTGAGACTTTCTTTCAATGATTTCTACTGGATTGTAGTTCTTTGATCGTAACCCTTCTCTCTATGAGTAAGTTTTTGCACTAAAAGATACCAAATGCATGAAAAAAACTAAATATGTATGAGATATACAGAAGAGATCCCAAAAGAAACGCAATATTTATCAAAGATTGCTAATTGTAGAGAGTTGTCACTGTATATGATATTAAAATAGAAAAGGAAAAGGAGACAGAGATAGTGAGAAAGTAAATTTCAGGCACAAGAAAATAGTTTTTATGTGAAGATGGTCCTCAAATTTTGGGTTGTATGGTAAATGTTTTAAGGAATTATGCACACACACACATCAAAGTAAAGATAAAACAAAATCTAGAAAAGTAGATTGTATAACCTTCTACATACAGAAAAAATTTGTATTTCAACCAAACTCTAAAATAACTAGTAGAAATTTATGCATATATAAATAGAAAATGTTATACATTTAGATGGATTTAGTTTCAACTAAGAACTAACCAGCAATTTTCTGTGGCTCACTTCGCTTCCCATCAGAAAGAAACCCTTGCAGACTGCTAACCCTTGAGTATATCGAGATGCTATCACCCTTAGACATTATCCTCCCCATTGCTCTAGATGCCAAATGACGCACAGGCCGCTTAGCTCCAAGAATAAGCAAAGAATATAATGTGTCCTCACATTTTCTTTGCCACAATAAAATAGATTCCTGAAATTTATTTTTCCCATCAAAATTCAGTAGTTTACCCTTTCCACAAAATCGTAATTTCCTAAAACACTACGTAACCTCCACCACTACAACAAATCATCAAAGAAAATAACAAATTCTTCCATTCAACTCATTCCAGATTAAATGCCAGATGATATCTGATATGTTAACATTGCTTTCCTAATTAGTTCAGAATTCACTCCAGCTCATAGTGGATCTTACTTTGAAAACATACACAAATATATCAGTAAATCATAAAGAAAAATAAAGAAAACAATAACATGCAAGAACACGATAATTCTTTGAAAACGGAATCAAAGAAATTGGTTTCGATCTGGAGAAGGATGAAAGACCTTAGGCTCCTCGTCAATGGCAGAGATGAGATCGGAGAGAAGATCGAAGCAGAGCAATGCGTCGGGGGACTTCTGCGATGCAGATGCCACTAGGGACTCCAATTGCGCCACCAAGATACCGAATCGGGAGAGGGGCGCATTCTCTCCGACGTAGTTCCTCGCCATTAATTAGCAGAGGGATTATGTTCGAAGAAACAACACTCCGGTGTTAGAGAGAGGCAAGAAGAAATACGCGAGTTTGGGTGATGAAGGATAGGAAAACTGGAACGGATCCGTTGGGTCGTGTTCAGTTTTTCGCCCGATATCTAATTCGGGTTCAACCCGGATATGTTCAAGTCGGCGTCCCAGCCGTGGCGGTTACTGACGAAGCCTGAATTTATAATTGACCGTAACGTATATCTTGCATAAATACAGACATCCAGTATAAAAATTTAGTAATTTAAAATACTTAATGAATGCAGTTCTCTTATTTTATCTATTCACAATTATTAAGAAATTTACTTCTTTATTATAATAATAATAACTTATCTTTTAATTTTTCTTTTAGTTATAATTAAACAAAAAATCCTAACTCATTTTTATATCTTTAGAGATAAAGGCTAAAATTAAAATATTAACATTTAAAATCTTATTGAAATAAAAGGTGTAATAATTAAATCAAACTATATTTATTAGTGGGACAACTAGATTTGACTGAATAAAATAATAGAATATACTTTATTTAATTTTATTGTAAAATAATATATAATGCTATTTTGCACTTAACCCTTCGGGTCAAATGACACTCTACCAGCTTGAGGTACATTTCCCCTCTCCATGAGTGGGTTTCAAGTTCGCCCTTGACAACTTGTTTAAAAAAATATATATATATATATAGTGCTATTTTCCTTTAATTTGGGTTTTTTTTTTTTCCTGCCACCTCTTTAATTTGGTTAATGCGGGCAAAAAAATTATTGGCAATAATAAGGTGTATCTTATTGTTAAGATGCAAAATTCAATTTAAATATAGTGTTATTTTTTATTATGAAAATATTATACATTTTTAGTTCCTTTGACCTTATGGTAAATTAAACATGTCCTCTATATGCTTTAGCTTCACTATCTTACTAAAATCCTAGCCCAATGGTTAAAGGAAGCTGAGTTGATGAAAACTTTGAGTTTCTTTGTGTGTATTAAAGTTTAGCTTAGTAGTGTGATTCTTCATTTGCATGCAAAAGTTTTAAGTCGGTCCTACTTTGTGCAACTATTGGAATTTCGGCATTTTGATTTGGTATTTGTTGATTGATTTTGGTATATAAGATTGATTGCAACTAACAAAATGCATTTATATTGATAAAAATGTTGTTTAGTTGGTACTTATTGATTTTTATAATTGATATATTGGTGTTGAATTGACCAATGTTATTTTATTTTTATAAGTAATGGGTTGAATTTAAGAAAAAAAAACACATATAAACATTTTTTATTAAGTCACTATGATATTAAAATCATCTTTCAAAATATGGTTGATATCCTCAAAACTTTTTAAAACTAAAAATTTATACTTAACTAGTATGATAAAACTATTCGTGTAATGAGCCATATATCTTGTTTTGTTGATTTTAACATTTTTAACATGTGGTTTGAGAGAATGAGAGAGGGGGGAAGGGTGAAAATTCTTTTGATTGATTAGCAAAAAATTTAAAAGGGAGAAGAGTTTATCCAAATGAGAGGAGAGTTAGGGAGAGAAATAGAAGGATTTCCGTGTCTCTTAAATCAAACATACTGTTACTTTATACCAATTTTGAGGGACTCAATTGAAAGACAGGTTTGAAGGGAGGCTTGAGTGCCCCCAAACGACTTGTTTAGGGACTATATAGGATTATTGGGGCGATCCAAATAAAACTAGTCAAAAGTCAAAACGGTGCGTATATGCTTCTCCTCCATACTGGGAAGTCCCAGAAAAGCCCTAAAGCCTCCCTCCCGTTCCACTGTTTGAGTTCACAATTAGAAAACAGTAGAAAGACGTTTCCTTTCTCCGGCAGCTCACAGCACACTTACTAACGCTCTCCGTTTCTCTCCGGCTACGCCAAGCGGAAGAAGATGTCGCTGCGAGTGCTGAATCCAAACGCCGAGGTGCTTAACAAGTCGGCGGCGCTGCACATGAACATCAACGCCGCCAAGGGCTTGCAGGACGTTCTCAAGACTAACCTTGGTCCCAAAGGCACCATCAAGATGTACGTATATGTTCGTATTCAGATTCATAGATATTATCTTCGTTTCTCCGTTTGCTTACTGTTCACTTCACTGCGCACTCTGTTTCGACAGGCTTGTTGGCGGAGCCGGTGATATCAAGATCACTAAGGATGGAAACACTCTCTTGAAAGAAATGGTTATTTCTCATTCTCTCTTAACTTGTTTTAGCTAATTCATTTCCATTTTTTCAACCATACGGTGCTTAGAAAATCGTAGATTTTTTGATCTGTTTGGTATATTGGTAACATTGGTGCACTCTATGAGACTAGGAATTTTGCAGCTTTTTTAGGAAGGCATTAAGACTGTCATTTTGTTTGAAATTTGTGTGACATATGAATTTGCTTGATTGGTGTTTTCATAATGTTCGCAGCAAATTCAAAATCCAACAGCTATCATGATTGCTAGGACTGCTGTTGCTCAAGATGACATAAGTGGAGATGGCACTACATCTACTGTAATCTTCATTGGTGAGCTTATGAAACAATCAGAACGCTACATTGATGAAGGTTGGTGGCAGCATCTATGTTTTTGAAAACACTCATTGAAAAAAATGAAAAATAAAACATTAGATCAACTTTGAGACCTAGCAATTTCCTGCATATTTTTTATTGCATCCTTTTAAGTTTATCTATGAGTTTCTAACTGGGTTCTTTAGTTTCTTGAGGTCCTTTTTTTTTTTTTAGTATATATTTTTTTAAATTAATGGTATTTATAGACATTTCCCTGTTCTTTTGAGGGTTAAGGCAGGGCTTTGATAGGATCATGGGAGGGTGGCGTGGTGGAATCATGGGAAGATTTTTTATCCAGCTGCTTGGTTGATACTACCATGTCAATTGATTAGCCCCTTCTTTAGTACATCCATATTTTTTTCCTTGTCTTGAAAAATAAAGCAAGTTTGACATCAGTGGTCACGAAGGAAACTAATACCATATTTGGTCTACCCATGGAAAGTTGACATACAAAATTTCCAAATTTATGGATAATTCATTTATTTCTTATAATAATCAAGGAGGCATGCCCACTTGTAGATGGGGCTCTGCAAAAGGGGATAGCCCTCCCTTTTCCAAAATCCCTCCCTGTACATCTCACGGTTTGAACTTGAGACCTCCAACTTGGGGGTCTCAAGCTCTTATCTGTACCCACTTGTACATATGGTTCTTAGAAAAGGAATATATCTATGTTAGAAACTTTTGATTTTAAAGAAAAAGCTACTTTTGTTATCTTTATATATGATGAATGCTGTTTTAGGTATGCATCCACGAGTCCTGGTTGATGGTTTTGAGATTGCCAAAAGAGCTACTCTTCAATTCCTTGAAAAGTTCAAGACTCCTGTTGTGATGGGTAACGAACCTGATAAAGAGATTCTTAAAATGGTTGCGAGAACAACTCTACGAACTAAGGTTCTTTTCATTTATATCTGTCCCTCTCCTTTCTGGTTGCTATAGTATTTTTTTCGTATTATTGACTTTTTGTTTTCTTGCACAGTTATATGAAGCATTGGCGGACCAATTGACTGACATAGTTGTTAATGCAGTAAGTATTTAGTGATGTTGATGTCAAGTGTCTGCCAAGGATGATGCCAAGCTTGTTTTATTATTGTTAACTGGTAAAACTTTGAGTCACTCAAAATTTGGTTTGAATGTGGCAGGTGCTGTGCATCAGGAAGCCTGAGGAACCTATAGATCTATTTATGGTGGAAATTATGCACATGCGCCACAAGTTTGATGTTGACACACGTCTGGTATGTTAATATTTCCTTTTGCAATGGGTGGAAAACTTAACCAGAATATAAGGCCACAAAATACCATGTACTCAATGAAAATCTATGTGAGATAACATCATTACTTGAGAGTATATTTTATGAAAACTACTTGTTAGCTTAGCTCTTAAGAATTGACAAATGCTTTCATTTTTAGTTTCTAACATTTTGCTCTCATTTAATGAAATTTTAATTGCCATATTTAGATGCCAGGGGCTAAGATCTTAAAGGGTTGCCTCTGCTGTTTATCTTGTCAGTTTATGCCGATACTGTAATTCAATTTCTTAAATTTACTTTTCTTGTCTCATAGGTTGAGGGTCTTGTCCTTGATCATGGTTCTAGGCATCCTGATATGAAGCGTCGAACAGAGAATTGTTACATCTTGACATGCAATGTGTCTTTGGAATATGAGAAAAGGTACTCATATTCAAATTTATCCAATTCTGTCATGATATGTTTATTCTTGAAACTCGTGTTCAGTGTCATTAAACTAGATTCCTCATATTTGTTCTTTTTTGCTTCTTCTGGTGTTTGTTCCTGAATAGACATCAAATGTCTTAAAAGCCCACCATAATATTGTTTATTATCATTGCCCTTTTTTTCTCTCCCTTGAATGTTCTTATTTCTTTGTGAATTTGATGAAATCACGAATGAAAATATATTTACCACTTTTTATCAAGATTAAAAGAGAAATAAATATTTCAAAATGTTTTTGACTTATCCATCCACATCCTGCCATGAATTTGCTGCATTCAAAATTGTTTTTTCTTAAAATAATGAGACTAATGTTTTAGCCTGCAGTGAAATAAATGCAGGTTTTTTCTACTCAAATGCAGAGCAGAGAGAGGCAATGGTTGCAGCAGAAAGGCGATCTGTTGATGAGAGAGTCCAAAATATTATTGATCTGAAAAATAAGGTAGGGTTTTAGAACATGTCATTTTTTATCTGTATGGCATTGGTGAATCAGGTATATTTGTTTTCTTAACATGTCCAAACCTTCTGTTCATTTGCAGGTTTGTGCAGGCAATGATAACAACTTTGTTGTCATCAATCAAAAGGGCATTGATCCACCTTCATTACATCTGCTTCAACAGGCTGGGGTATGTTATCAACATTTCATCTTTGTTGTGCTCAAAGTTTTGGAGCTTCCATGATTGCATGTATATGACATGATTGATGCATATAAATTAATTTTAGTTAACCCAAAAGCAAATTGTGGGAGAAGGGGTAAGTTACATTACCAACTCACTGTATTTATTAATTCCAAATCAAAAGTTCAGGTTTAGGTTGAGTGATAATGAGTATGAAAGAGCTGGTTTGCTGGACTTCTGTTTTCTGTCACAATCTTTAAGATATATGTGAGTCTGTGACTAGGATCCTTAGATGGTGGTCCTCCACTTTATTTGTTGCAACTCAACAGTTGAATGGCTTTGCAGATTGTTGCCCTTAGACGAGCAAAGAGAAGAAATATGGAAAGATTGGTTTTGGCTTGTGGTGGTGAAGCTGTTAACTCTGTTGATGATTTAACACCTGATTGTCTTGGATGGGCTGGACTTGTCTATGAGCACGTCCTTGGAGAAGAAAAATATACGTTTGTGGAAAATGTGAAGAACCCTCTTTCTTGTACAATTTTAATTAAAGGTACTTGATATTTTCTTGTACTTATATGTAACACCTATAAATTTAACATTGTTTTTGTCATTGCTGCTCATTGCATTATTAACCTACCTATTGCTCTTGCTGCTTCCTTAGATATCTAATGTTCATTTCACTTTCAATCATCCAGGCCCTAATGACCATACAATTGCCCAAATTAAGGATGCTGTTCGTGATGGGCTTAGAGCAGTCAAGAATACCATTGAAGATGAAGCTGTTGTGTTGGTAAGTTTCAGTTTAGAACTTAGTGCTGCATGTTTTGTCCATTCATTCCTCTTCAAGCTGATTCACATAAGAAATTTTCATGCAGCAGTTTGCTGAAGCTTTATTAGAATGGTAACAACTAATTAGTTATATATCATCAGTTTCAAACATTTTGGTATCTGGATGAAGAAGATGGAAAACCCATTCATATGACTTTACTCCAATGTTCCTAGACATTGATTGGAAATGACCAAAACTTAATGAGAATTGAATATTCATTCATTTGAGAGGTTAACTACAAAGCAGAGATAAAAATTAGTTTGGAGTATAATTAGGGTAGGAGCTATATTCCTAGAGAGAATGGTTCATAAAACCAGCATGGTTGGCTAGGTACCCATGAGAAGGGAAATCATGGAAAACTTTTATGTTTTAATCTTGTTCGTTACATGCTGTGGTTCAGGGTGCTGGAGCTTTTGAAGTTGCTGCGAGACAATACCTGGTCAATGAAGTCAAAAAAACTGTACAAGGGGTATGTTGACATGGTTCCCTTTTGGTAATGATTCAAAAACGTTTTTACTTGAATAGTTTCTGATGTTCACTATCATGGAGCAGCGTGCTCAATTGGGTGTTGAAGCTTTTGCTGATGCCCTTCTGGTGGTGCCCAAGACACTTGCAGATAACTCTGGGCTTGACACTCAAGATGTGATCATTGGTCTAACGGTATTTGCACTTCTCATCTGTGTTTATTTTAGCACTTCTTAAGGTAAAAGCTGAAGAACTAATCATTTGAGTATTTTCTTGCATGTTTATTCAGGGAGAGCACGACAGGGGTAATGTTGTGGGATTAAACCATCACACTGGAGAACCTCTTGATCCCCAAATGGAGGGTATATTTGACAACTACTCTGTGAAGCGCCAAATTATTAACTCAGGGTATGTGAGAAAAACTTGCTATACTCCATTTAAAAGTTTCTCCCCCTGTATTTGTTCCCATAATCTAAAGTCTTTCCTTCCCTTATCCAAACTGTCTATTTGGATCTTTCTTTTCCTTTCTAGTCAAGGCCTCTACCCCCTTACTATTCCTTCCCTTCCTTTTTATCTTTCTCTGTACTTGCCTGGGGACAAAAACGTACAGGATAGAAGAAGGAAAAAAAAAATCTGATAATATCACCAACGGTGGTTCCCTGTTCTCTCCAACATGGTTACCCTGCCAGCCTGAGGAAACATTTGACTTGTATGCGTCAGCTTTGCTAACTACCTTCATACTTTGTATTGCAGGCCTGTAATTGCATCTCAGTTACTACTGGTAGATGAAGTGATTCGTGCTGGTCGGAACATGCGGAAGCCAAATTAGTTCCATTCGCGTACTCACGTAATACATTTTGCTATGTGAACATCATTTTCTGCATTATTGTGTTATGGATGGTATACCATTGTGGTTGTGCTTGAAATTTTTTGAATAGCGGGAATTTTGTCTGTGTTCAGTTGGTTTTCAGTTCAATTGAAATTGACAATGGCCATTTTTTTTTTTTTTTTCAAGTCTTCTCTTTTCTTTCAAATGAACATCTTCATGGCCGTTGCCATTTATCACGAATGTTTCTCTGCTCAAATGAGCCTTTTGCTTCAATGGGAAAACCTCAAGTAATGAAAGGTTATATGGCGATCCAAATTCCTTGTTCCAAATTCAAGAATTCGATTGTTCTGTATCTGTCTGCATGACGGTTATAGAAAAAAAATTTGTCCTTTCAAAAGTATAAATTGAAGGCAAGAAGGAATAATTTTTGTTGTCGTACTGGGAGGTAATGACCAAAAAAGCCTTAAGCACTTTAACTATGTTTCTCGCTATCCAAGAAACCAACACAACGTTGCAAACATGAGACCTTCAAATTAGTGCAGACGACAACCCATTGTGGCACTCAAATGGATCGTGATATTGCTGGTGTATGGACTGAGACAAAATGTTCTGCACTCAATTCTACCCCCAGGCCCCCATCAAAAGGGATGGGTTTAGACTTTTACAGATCCTTTCTCATTTTGTTGGAGCATGTACTCCTTCTTCATTTCTTCCAAGACGGCATCATTTGTGCTGCCACAGAGAATCAAGGATGATATAAATTCTTCGGTTAGTCAACTGCAAGCTTACCACCGTTCAATTTAAGAATGATAACAATTAACATTTTACATAAAACTAATGTAAAATAGAAGTGTAGATGTTCTTAGAAGTATCCTACTTTTCTAAATCAATTTTATCAATAGGTTTTAAAAGCAATAAGAACTAACAAGAATGCCAGCAAGCAGCAAGCACTGTTTCAACTTTCAATACATTAGAAACTATTATGCTAAAGGTTACACTTATGGTCATCCACATTACATTCATTCTGAATATTTGTCTAGCACTCAGTCCATTGATTGTAAGCAATGTAAGGGAAGAATTAGGTTGCCTTTCTTCTCATTTACATTCAATCCATGCCCTTTGTTACTATTGATATATCCAACTAGACGAATGCAAATGATAAATTATGTAAGTTTTCAGGTCTCATGCTCTTTACAAGTATAATTAATAAAGTTAAATTTATTAATACCATAGCAAAGTCAAAGATCTATAAAGTTCAAAGGGAAAAAAGATTCTAGTTGGCAAGGAAAAGAAGCCTAATAAATAAATGTTTGCATTTATTAATACCATATTAAGTCAAAGATCTATAAAGCTCAATGGGAAAAAGATTCGATTTGGCAAGGAAGAGTAAACAAAAGAAATGTCTATATCAAACTGAGAAAGAGGCATGAGGCATGCTTCATGCTTGCTGCATTCAACTAGATATTCAGTAGATTATTTATAATCCCTCTATTCAGTTTGAGATGAGGCAATAAACTATCCCAATTTTAGTTTTATTTCATTAATACCTTCACAGAATCATTGGCATTAATCAGAAACAGAACTTCTTGACACTCTAAAGATGCTGGGTATAAGCAACAAAAGATTTTTTAGTTTATAACACCTAACTTGACTCTGCTCACTGCCATATCCCATATTCCTTTTGCAACTTCATAATCTTACAACCAATAAAAATTTTCTATTTTTTAGTCTCCCCACCCTGCACCCTTTTTGTTATAATTTGTCTTCTCTATACTTTCATGATCAATCTAACTCTTGTTGAATCAACTTGTGGCAACTTGGCACTTGAATTCTGAAACCTTAATACCAGCTGCAGAACGCAACCATGTAGATCATCTTATTCTACACAAACTGAGGACAATGTTCAAAATTCAAATATAGGAAATAAAGGACATAACTTTACCATTTTCGCATAAAAGTCAGAACACTCAGAACTTAACCTATATGATCCACCAAAGAATCTCCCTTTAAACACGGTTCTATCAATCAAATTAACACGAAATTATCTAGCACATATATGTAGGTACAAAAGGAATGAGAGCACAAACACAGAGCTAAAAACTGCACTATTGATACCAACATGCTAATTTGCTTCGAAATATCAATGGAATGGATATATAAAAAGAAAAATAAAAAATACAAGCAATATAATTGAAAATGATAAGAACATGAATATATACACCAGCAACACTTGCAAAACAAACTTTACAAGTATGAAAAAGAAGAAGAAGAAGAAGAAAGGAACTTACTATTGATGAAGGCAATCGTTCAACTCTTTAGCTTGCTTCCGACACTGCCACACAACGGATAATGTCCTTCCTACAGCGCACTGCGCGTATTTGGAAGTGTACTGGTCACATTCCTTTAGTGCCTTTTGCTTCATTTTGCTGCGTAAAGCTGGAAATCAGACATAACAGCACATCAACCCCATTATACAATTGAGATTAACCTGATTGTTTGCTGGGAAAATGCGGGAAATTAGCCCAAAACGAAATGGAATAGCAAAAAGCCACTATACGAGGGTGTATAATCAACAATTCATTGTTCCTCCCAAAAAAAAAAAAGAAAGAGGAAATTAGGGTTTATGAGATGGGGGTTTTGGTTTTACCTTCCTCTACCTTCTTCTTCACGTGATTCTCACGTGCTTCCTGGACGTAACCCATTGGCAGAGAAGAGAAACCTTCGATTCGGGAGGGTTTTGCTGAGGGAAAGAAGCTTCTGTGGCTGAAGAAATACCGGCGATTCAATCAGAGACTGTCGCCGACGAGGAGGAAGATGACTATGAAAGGTTTTTTTTGTTATTAGTCATGAACTACGAAGAAAACATTGAACCGAAAAAATAGGCCCAAGACCCAGTGTCCAACCCATCTTGCATATGGATCTTTATCTTTTTGGGCCAATTTTATTCCTGCCACCTTAAAATAAATTTTTTTTAAAATAATAATATAATTAAAACATAATATGTTCTTATATATAAAAAAATTTTAACCTTTATGTTAAGAATATATAAAAAATAATTTTTTTTAACACTTGGATCTCGTCATTCTATAACTACACACCTAATAATAAAGTACATTTTTAATTCAAAACTTGAAGTTTGAATCCTCACTTTTTAAAAAATAATATATTTTTAATTAATTATTATTAAAAAATAAAATTAATTTAATTAAAATTAAAATTATGCACATATAATTCATATTAAAAAAGAAATTAATATTATATTTTTACACTAATAATAAAATATATATAATTAATTCACTTTTAACCATACAAATTAGATAAATATTTACATATAAAAAATATAAATATAACATTTTTGTTTTAATTGAAGAATACATAAGCATCTCCTCATTTTGAGTTGGACATCCAACTAACTTGCTTCCATTTTAGGTTTCCAATAAGTAGGAGTACATCATTAGCATCACTCCACCGTCCAATACGGCACCCGTGAGTAAGAATTATAAATAGTCATAGAAAACACTTAATTTAATTACCATTAATGACGAGATCATGAATCGCATGCGTGCAGACAACATTTACGATGTAATTTGACTTTTTGGTTTTTTGGGGACAACGCAGGCTTGAAAAGGAGAGATCCAGGGTGGGTAGTATATACAGCAACAAGAGAAGTGTCATTTCGCAAAGAATCTGATCAAAGAGGAAGTTACACATGTAATTTACACGATGACTTCCTAAAAAATACCGTCCCACATCACGTCCAACAGTAGAAAATTGAAAAAGAAAAGAAAAGAAAAGGAAGAGATAATTTTTAACGGAAGAAAAAATCCTAACGTTTTAATATTCAAATATTAGCATGTTTAATCATAACCGTTAAATATATATAATATAATATAAAATTTAATTTTATTAAATTTATTATATAATTATTATTAAATATTTTTAATGTCAAAATGACTTAATCTTTTTTTATAATTATTTAAATAATTAATTTTTATTTATTTAAAATTAAAATATTAAATGTATTATTTTATTTAAGTTAAAATATTAATTTAAGCCCTCAACCTTTAGATTTATATTAAATTCATTTTTCAACTTAAAAAAATATCAAAATAGTTCTCAAATTTTGAAGATAATATTAATTTAATCATTAACTTTGAAAATAAGTATCAATTTATTCCTTGAACAATGATTATAAATATCAATTTGGTTTTTTAACTTTAATTATATATCAATCTAATATGTAAATAAAAATATATCTCAATAGTAACATATAATTTTTTAATTTTATACATAATTAATATTTTAAAAAACTAATTTTGTAGCAAAATAACTACTTACGTGATACTTCTATTATTGAAAGAACTTTTTTGGTATTAAAAATTAAAATTTAAGAATAATTTTAATATTTTATGAAATTATCGGATAAATTTGATAAAAATTTAAAAGTTGTAAAATTAAATTAATATTTTAACATTTTATTTATAAACATATAAAAATTATATAAAAATATATTAAAAAAATTATATCAATATCACTAATCAGGGTTAAAACGCCACCCACCCGCCCCCTCCCCGTCAAACAAGGCCCCACGTTCCCCATCATCACACGAAACCACGTAAAAGCGCAACTGTAATTCTTCGTAATGGCCTTCTTGACCGTCAACGCAAAACCAGCGTGGCGGTCCGAAAACTCCACGCCCACGGGAATTTCCATCACCTACCATTTGTCGCGCTCCCATTGGACCACCCACTCTCTTAGGTCCTCCATTTTTTCTCTTTTTTAAACTAGCCCTCTGCCTCTGCTCTTTCTCCTTTTCATTTCCATTTTCCACTTCCACACAGAAAACGAGACGAAAATCCCCTCCTAATAATCTCTCAATTAGGTATGCAGAAATTCTAGATCTCTCCATTTTTATTTCATTTTTAGGTGATTTGATTTTGATCATCCCTTTCGTTCTCCCAGATCTACTTGTTTCTTTTTGGTATTTTGTATCTGATTTTGCTTTCGGTACGGTTTTTTTTTTTTTTTTTGATTTTTCTGGTTCTAATCGGATCCGGCGGATGGTTTTTCAAATTTTTTCCCGATCTGTTTGGTGGATGAGAAACTGTTGAAAAAGAAGAGGAAGTTACTATTGTATTGACTTAAAATTTTTATTTTTTAAGAGAATTTTCTCAGTCGGAATTAGTTCTTATTAGAAATGTTTATGATTTAGTTGTAGCAAAGATGTCGCCGACGGAATCATCACGGGAGGAAAATGTGTACATGGCGAAGTTGGCAGAGCAGGCTGAACGCTATGAAGAGATGGTAGAGTTCATGGAGAAGGTGGCCAAGACGGTGGATGTTGAGGAGCTTACTGTTGAGGAACGGAACCTGCTGTCTGTGGCATATAAGAATGTGATTGGGGCTAGAAGGGCTTCATGGAGGATCATTTCTTCCATTGAGCAGAAGGAAGAGAGCAGGGGAAATGAAGATCATGTCGTAACCATCAAGGAGTATAGAGGCAAGATCGAAGCTGAGCTGTGCAAGATCTGTGATGGGATCTTGAACCTTCTTGAGTCTCACCTCATTCCTTCAGCCTCATCTGCTGAGTCCAAGGTGTTTTACCTTAAGATGAAGGGTGATTATCACAGGTATCTTGCTGAGTTTAAGACTGCAGCAGAGAGGAAGGAGGCTGCTGAGAGCACCTTGTTGGCTTACAAGTCTGCTCAGGTAGGTGACCAGTGTTTCCAAGATGTTGACTTTAGTTGTCTTTTTTTCTTAAATATTTGTGACGGTTTGTTCTGTTTCAATGTTTGATATCAGGATATTGCTGTAGCTGAACTTGCTCCTACTCACCCAATAAGGCTGGGTCTTGCACTTAACTTCTCTGTCTTCTACTATGAAATCCTTAATTCACCCGATCGGGCTTGCAATCTTGCAAAACAGGTAATTGGCTTAAAATGGTTTAGTTCATTGTCTTTCTAAACTTTCTTATACTGCTTTTGATGTTAAAAATCAGCACCTTCTATAGCATGTTTGGATTTAGTTGTATGTAGTTTTTGTTTCTTTTTTCATGAAGACTATTTGTATGGTCTCTACTTTTGGAGTTTCTACTTCACCTGAAAGCTCATTGATTGGCCATTTATAAGAAGGCCAGGATGAAACTGAATTGTCCACTTTATGGTTAGTTGATTGTGGAGAAGCGGTACAGTGTTCATGTACATCATGTGACTTGCGATTACGCTTCTACATTCAATTTATTACCCCTTTACTGTGGTTTAACAGTTAAATTATTATGTCCATTTGTTGATTGGGATCTGTAACTCAGTATTCGCATTTGATGATTTTCTTCAGCTTGTTTTAATGCCAAATTTGCTTTTGCAAAGTGAATGCCATGCTGGCTCTGAATTTTTTTTTTTTAAAATAACTCTTGAATGCTTTTGATTTGTTTAATATTACTTTCTAGCTCAGTATTTGGTTTTGATGTTTCTATTCAATGATTGATGCAGTATGCCTCTGTTTGTATGAAGTTAGATTTATTTTTTTATTAAAGGTGATGAAAACATATATTTTGGGAGGATCTGATCTCTAATGGTCAAGGATTGTGTGTCCTTTGTTATAACTTTAGAAATGGTTTTATATGTATGACAGGCCTTTGATGAGGCTATCTCTGAGCTTGACACACTGGGTGAAGAATCTTACAAGGATAGTACATTGATCATGCAACTTCTCCGGGACAATTTGACCCTTTGGACTTCTGATATCACGGTATATCTCCCTCTATCTCTGTGCTCCCACTTGTGTTTGCCTGTATCTTGATACATAAAATGGATTATGTCGATGCTATTCAATCATTGTAGATATAAATCAGGGATTTCTACCAGCATTCTATGTCTTTAATTTACTGGGTCTCCCTTTCTATATTCTTAGATTTTACTACCAAGTACTAAATATTAAATGATTTGTTAGTGTCCATGGTTTTCCCATTGCATGGATTATTGATAGCATCACTCGTCTTGTCTTTCTTGATTTTAGGATGAAGCTGGAGATGAGATCAAGGAAGCGTCAAAGCGTGAATCTGAAGAAGGGAAGCAGCAGGAATAAGTTGGATTCATAGGATATGTACTCTGTATTTCTATCTCGTGGTTTTACATAATTCTGGCTTGTTGTAGAGGACTTATAATGAATTGATCTTCAGTATGGAGAGCACTCGAAACTTGAATTGTTCCATACGTGATAGATGTGCTTTACTATTCATGAGAAGAATGCTTGGTTCGTTTTTATGTGCTAGTATTAAGTGGTGTCTTTTTATTTCTTGCTGCTGATTTTATCACGCTTTTATTTGAGCTATTGATCAAATAACTTTATTTGCAAACCCAGTGATGTGTTTGCTCTGGTTCAGGATGGTATAACAGTCCTTTTGTTTTCTATTTTTTCTTTGTTCTTTTTTTTTGGGGGGGGAGGATCAAGGAATGCAATAGCTTAATTTCAAATATTGTAATACATACAGACTTTAGACTTGCAAAACCCAGACATGCAACAAGAAAATGGGGAAGTAGTGCATTTCCCTCACCCAAACACGCACCATTTTCATGCCGTGCTAAAAATATTTACAACAAATATTTACACCAAATACCCCTGGTCTTTCCTTCAGCTTATGGTCTCAGTAATGTCATCAGACTTGTGGGTTTCATGACCCATGGCAATGCCACCAGAATTGTGGCTGTTGCGGTAGCCAGGTCCACTACCGCTGTCAAACATCCCAGCATGTGAAACCCCGAGGTACAGCAACTGACTCAGCAATGATATTACGATGAATGCTTCCAAAATTCGCTGTGGAGGGACAATAATCAAGGTAAATCTTATTAGAGATTAACTTATTAAGAGTTTCTTCCATTCTATAGCAATTTTGTTATGAAACCAGCACTAAAAGGGAATTTCCCAAGCTCGCTGGAGACATGCACTCCCTAGCAATTAAAACTAGCAGCACAGTCCATGTTTCCAGCAAAGTTTCAGAGTGGATTCTTACCAAGGGTTTTCCTCGATGGCCTCCTAGTATGATCTTCTTGCATACGAAACTGTGATGTCAAGAAGCCCAATAAAAGTAAATCAACACAAACACCTAGTCAGTTTTTGCTTTCAATTTGATCAACAAAACAAACCACTTACTATTCAACGTACATATTGAGTAGAGAAAGAGGAAAAAAAAAGAAAAAAAGAAAGGAGCTAGCATACCCGAAAGCAAGAGCAGTAATAGCCCAAGAGATGAGTGCCAGAGGACTTGCACCAGCCAAACTATCACTTCTCCAAGCACGAAGATGCATGATTCCAACAAACACAGAGCAAATACCCACCACACCAGCCATTAGAGCAAACAACAACATAAAGCTCGTTGATGGGTTGCCACCCAAATCTGCAGTATAAATATAGCAAAAAGAAGACTCTAATTTAGTACTCTCTCAAGAAGGAAAAATTATCTCAAAATTAGGCAGAGATAGGGAAAGAAAGCATACAAGGGTGATTCTGTTCGCCATCGATGTACTTATCAAGAGACCAAGAAGCCAATCCAAGTACAACCAGGTAAACGACCAAATTCACACCTAAAAGAAGACCCATCAGGTCCCTGCAAGCCTTGCCGCTCGCCATTGTCAAAGCTCGAGCTAAAGTTTCAGACTTTCAGGTGCGTGAGGTTTCTTGCTTGAAGACAGGTCCAAGAGGGGAAGTGGGGACGGGGGACGGCTATATCCTATATGGGTAGCCTTTGGATACCGAAAGAATTGTTGAGAGAATTCCTTTCTCGTCTCTTCCCTTCCTTCCCCTTTTTTGTTTTTTAATTAGCTTTGGACTCTCTGCTTCTGACACGTGGAAAGCATGCAATGTTCTGACCTCTCCTGGACCGAAGTAATATGCGGTTAGAAAAGCCCAATGGAACCACCTTATTTTTCTTAACCCAATCCAACACTTTCTGGCCCATGAAATTAATCCAAAAGATGACGACAATGAAACAACCCAAAAAAAAGCGGCCGGAAATTAATCTTGAGGACACAAACCGGATTTTATTAGTTAAGAAACTATTTGGTGCTCGATACCAAAGTTAAGGGACCAAAGTCAGCTTTAACCAAAAGAAAAGTAGAAGAAATCTGGGTGACACGGTTTTGGGTTGTGGCAATTGTTGTTAGAGCAATGCTAGGGGCACTCGCTTTTCGCACTCTCCGGTGAACACTTTCTCTTTTATTGGGCCACGTTATCTTGGTTCCCGAGAAGTTGCGCCTGAAAGCTTTAAAGAAGCTTACGTGGCCCAATGAAAGGGGAAGTGCTGGCGGGAGAGTGCGAAAAGCGAGTGCCCCTAGCATTGCTCATTGTTGTTATGCAGATGTAGTGCCACAGTTGAGAAGAAAAACGCTTTGGTTTTAAACTAGAGAGCAGGGAAAACCAAATCACCGTGAAGGCAATACCACTGACAGTATGAGCAGCCCCCGTTTACTTCCACCAACACCACCGAGTGTCAGGAAAAGTGTTTAGACCATCTAAACAGAGAAGTGATTGTTTTTTTGAACAATTTGTTAAGAAACAAGCTTGAATCCGCTTAAAAAAGAGAAAATGCACCTCATAGTGGCAAAATACCACTTGATCCGAAGGGTCAGGTGCAATAGAAAAGTGATTGTTAAAAACCAAAAAAAAAGGAAAAGTGATTGTTAAAATCCCAATTCCTATGAAGTTTTTATTTATCAGCGTTTTATTTGAGTTTTATATTTTATTTTATAATTTAAATTATATCAAATTATAAAATAAAATTTATTAATTAAGTAATAAAAAAATAACTCTTAATATCAATAAAATTATTTAAATTTTAAATTTTAAATTGTATAATTTAAACTGTAAAATATTTTTTTATTTAATTTTTTCTTTTTCTATAACTTTTTCGAGCATTAACATCTGATATGATATTTTTTTTTGTATTAACCTCTGGTATTCAATAATTGCATTAGGTTTGATTAATTCAAAATCAAGTCGTGTCAGTTTTCATTAACGAAAAACTCTCCTAATGCTTGTTTTTCTCCATTCACAAAACTCAAATTTAAAAATTTATTTTAAAAAAATCGAATTCTTTCCATTCAGATTAATAAGTCGTTAGTACATCTGATACGATATGAAACAGAGGGAATATCACCAGCCATGGAACACAGAACCGGTAAGGTATGTACATTCAATAATGAATGTCCAAACCAAAAGGACCGTGGGATGGATGACCAGTTAACATTCGATACGATAGATGCCGATCAAAAAAAAAAAACATTCGATACGATAGATGAAAGAAGGAACTTTTGTGTATGATTTGAAAGAAAGGAGAGAGGAGGCATTTTGGGATTAGTTGGTCAAGGTCTGATATCTGAATACCTAGAAAGTGAGGATTGAATCAGAGACAGGGGACGCACGTGATCACAGAGCTACCAGCCACTTTCCCCACAGAAACATAACATTCCAACATGTACCAAGGTACAACGAAAACCCAAGCAAAAGCAAAACAGACTATCATAATTCATACAGTCTTTCACCATATCTGTCCATACTCCATAGTCCATCATAATTTCTCTTAT